GATATTGTTTTAATATTTTTTTAGAGCTTGAATTGATTAACTCACATTCTTTTATATTCATGCATAGTTCTTGATTACTTTGATTAATAGTTTTCATTACATGAATATTTGTTTAAAATGAATATTTGAACATAATTATGAGTTGGATATATTAATTTCTTGATCTTTAAATTGATTTGATTCATAGATTATGAATTATAATTTTAAAATTTATATACATATTCATTGATTGAGATCATTAAGATGGTATGTATCAAATTGTGCCTAAATGCTTGCATTTTTTTAATTAAGTATATTATTTATGCATTTTGAATATGTTTGTATGATTTTGATTGAAATATATGATTGAATACTTACATATGTTTAAATACTTCACTATGCATTGAAATAATTTAAATTGTAATTGAATAATTATGCTTTTATTATTTTCTTTCTATAACATATGTGCTCATCATGTTTGAAAAATCAAGTTTATATAATCTTTATTAAGACATGATGATTAAACCTCATTACTCATTAGTACTTATGATTTATTATATACATATGAGCTTTTGGTTCTTCTTTGGATATGATAGCTTATGAAAAATTACTATTATCATTTATACATGTATTAAATGAATATTTCATATACTTGAAGTATGTACGCTCTATGAAAGTTATTGACTAAAATTACTAACAATTGATAACAATTAGTATCAAAATTGCTAAAAAAAATTTTAACTTTCATGGACACTTACTTATGTGTCTATCCTTAATATAACTTGTACCTTTCATGCAAAATTGTGTAGCTTAAATTGATTAATCATTATTTTGAAAAGAATGAGAAATCCTAAAATATAATTTTGCTTGATTTGTTTCGTAATAACAATTGGTATGTTTTTTTGATAATATATCTTTAACAATTGATATCCTTAATAATTGGTATAAGCTTGTATGCATATGCTTGAATTTATGTTTAATAGCTATTGATGTTTTAGGTTTTAAACACATCTTATGCTAACATGATTTATGAGTAAGTTGCATATCATTTATTATTCTTTGCTCATAAATTTCATGCAATAAATTTGATGGCTTATGTTAAAATGTTAAAATTGAATACATTAGAATATTTTTATGCTTTTGTGTTTTAATACATGTACTTAAACTTCATTGTGCATATTACACTTGATTACATGCATTCAAAATACCCTTGATATTATTGATATCAAGCATTTTATCTTATACCTATAATTGATCTCTCTCTCTTTTGCTATGACAAAAAGAGAGTTTCTGAATATTTTTTCTTATATGTTTATAACAATTAGTATAGGAGCTTAAACATTTGATATAAAGAACATAAACAAAAAAGAAAAGAAATGTTTCATGAATATATTTGTTAATGATACCTCTATGTTTATTTGCCTATTAATATGTTTATGCCTTTTTCCTATGACAAAAAAGAAGAAAAATATCATATGAACAAATTTGCTTGTACATGACATGCATAAGTTTAATTGTGCTTATTTCATATATTTGACTAAAATATATTTGTTTGCATTGGATTATGATGCATAAATTAAGAGAAAGTTTAAACATGAATAGTTTAAGAGAAAAAATTTCAAAATGTTTTTTAAAATTTTAAATGTTTCAAAGAAAGTTTTGCATTAAACAAATTTATCTTTAAGTTTTGTCATATTAAAAGGGAGAAATTGTTAATATTGAATTGATCCTTGTTTTGAAATAAAAAAATATTAAACTAAATAAACTTGATCAAGATTTTAAAAAAAATTTATTTAATACATACTCTTAAGTTTTATATTTTGGTACTAAATAAATAATATATTTTTCATAATGTAAACAAACTTTTTTTTTTATTTTCATATTTCTCAAATCAAATCTATCTTTAAAGATTGTTTATTGAAGTTTAAATGAAAGTTTAATTGTTGTTTTTAAAATGAATTTATTCATTTTGAAGTTAATACAATTTTAATAATATTAATTTTGAAAAATAGATTAACTTAAGAAAATTGATTTATAAGAACAAAATTTTTCAACATTAAACTTATTTTATTTTCTGTATTAATTCACAAAGCTTTAATATGTGAATTTTATATGATTAAAAAACTCTTTAAGTTTACTTTCTAATGGATCAAACAAAATTAAAATCTAAATTTTCTAAAAAAAAATTAAAAATTTTTACTAGATATTTTGCAGTTGTCTAAAAACTACACAAAAGATAAATTTAAAAATTTACTCTAATTCATACACAATAAATTAGATGATAAATTTTATATGGATAGAAAGCCCTTTAAATCTAATTTTTAAATCTTCAAACGATTTTTTATTTAGATTTGTATAACTCAAGATATTATCAAATTAATGAATAAAGTGTAAAACAAGAGACAATTACCTAACTTTGACAGGATCGATCCCCTCAATAAAGGATCGATTGATTTTTTACCCAAAATGCATCTTTGTGTTCCAAGTTGTAGAAAGGATTGATCAACCTATGAATGGGATCGATCACCCCCTTAATAGGATCGATCCCCTCATAAAAAAGATCGATCTGATCATGTTTTTCAAGTGAAAAGTAACACCAAAACTTGAACCAATTAATCTTCTCCTGGAATGGATTGATCAAGTAGGCCCTAAAACAAGTCCAACGACTGGTTTATCAAGCTTCAAAGATTTTTTTTCTTCTCCAAGCATCTATATATTGGATATTCTAACACACTAAAAAAATTGATGAACCAAGAAAGCAAAAATCAACAAACTATATTTTCATTCTCTCAAATAATCAAAAGTTGTTAGAGCTTAAAAGTTTACATCTTTATATTTGTTGTATCTAAATTATTGTTATTATTCATTCATCAAATTTTTTTACACTCATTAGGCAAACACTTAGCCTTTAAGAGATATTTTAAGTTTGTATTTTTATTAAGCGATTTTATAATCTTGAGGTGAAATATCTTCTTAAAATTATAAGATTGAGAAATTGTTACTTAGCTTAAAAACTAAAGAGTATAAGATTTCTATCTTAGGCTTTAGAGATAAAAAGATAAAATTATAATTTCAATTTAAAATTAGTGAATTAAAACCTTAGTGTGGACAGCTAAGAAAAAAAGACGTAAATATCTCATAAAAAATGACCAAACTTTTATAAATTATTGTGTTTGATTTCTCTATTTCTATATTGTGTTTGATTTCTCTATTTCTATCTCTTTACTTTAATTATGGTTTATATTTACTTCAAGTTCATCAATTTGTTGTCGTTTGCATTATATTGTGATATTGATTTTAATTTTTCATTCAATTATTTTAAAATATTACTTAAAAAAATTTAAAGAAATTCAATTCACCCTATTTTCAATCATCATCTCCCCTAAAAAACTAACAAACACTTTCATTAAAAATCTGCTTGATTACATTAATTTAAATCTACTATTTATATCAAAATATTGTTACAAATAACAATAACTAATTGACTTTTAAAATCATATTCTATATATGTAATATAATTAGCGCATCAATTAAGATTTTGTATAAAAACTTGTAATATGCTATACTTCTTTATTTTCAAAGTCACAACACTATTTTTATTTATAAAAAAAAAAAAGATAAATTGAAATCCAATTTGATTTCATTCCTTTTTATTTTTCAAATCAAATTTCATTTACTAAGCACTTGATTTTTTTTAAACAGAATTTTTAAAAAATATGAATTTAGAAAATTAAAAAACATCTATGAATTTAGTGGCATCCGGTTGCAAACATTTTTAAAATTTAAATTCTATTTCAAATCTAACTCAAATCACCTATTCAATTTATATTTATTATTAAAATGATAAAATTTTATAATATTAAATATATTTTCAATTTAAAATTAAATAATTTTTAATATAATAATATTTTAAATCCATACTTAAAAAATTATGCATAAAATCATAAATCCAACCTATAATCTAATTAATGAATAAGTCTACTTCATAATAAAATTAAAATTATATTCAATTGCGATTCTTTTTTTTTCTTTGCTTAAATTTTGAAAAACATTCATTAATCAAACATGAATATCAATTTAAAACTACGTATTTTCTTAATTTATTTTAATTAATTAAATTAAATTAAATTTATTTAACTACCTTTTCAATATTTAATTGATATAAAATTATATATTTTTCATATGATAAATAATATTGTCACACTTAAAATGTATGAGTATTTAGTAAAAAAAATTGAAATTAAAAAAATAATTTGTGATTTTTTAAAAAAACCTTATAATTAACCATAATTTATAGGATTTTTCCCATTATATTTAAACTATAAATTAATTTCAAGCATAAATAATTAAATATATATATATATATATGATTTTGTCTTTCTTTTCAATTTTAAAAATTTGAATAACTAATAATTTTTTAAAATATATTTATTTGATAAATAACATAAAATTAAAAATGATATTACTTGTTATCATAAAGATAAATTTTTTTACACACATGAATTATTTATGATTACCTTATTAAATAGATAACAAATAACTATATTAAATGATAAATAATTTTTAACTTACTACATCATAATCTAAATCTCCTTAAAAATAAAAAAAAAAAGATTTCAATTACAATTGAAAAATAATTGATTGACTAACAATTAAAAATAAATTAATAAAGCAAAATAATCCGTGCATTACATAGATAATAAACTAATTATATTATAATTTAAATAAAAAATAAAATATTAAATTATTATTATATTAATTTAATTTTTTATTTTTATTTTTATTTGGATTTTATTAATGATTTTATTGTTTTAATATTTATATGTTGTTAATTTTCTAAATGTGAATATTTTATTATAATATTAAAAAGTTGTAAATAATTTTTTTATATAAATAAAATAAGATAAGGTGTCATTAATTACTTTAAAAATCATGAAAAAAAAAATTTTATGATTATAATTATAATTACTATGTTTTATAACAAATTTTGCAAATTTTAAAAAAAATTATGACCACAATAACTTAATAACCGCGATAATATCTGTTTTATCCGTAACAGAGATAAATACAACACAACAAAACACATGTCCACGACCACAATTTAAATTTCTGCTATTGTCAGCAAAATTGAAAAAATGTAAAATTCTATACACCCATAAAATAATCCAAAGCAACTGCACATCGCTAAAAATAACATGGAAGTCATGCTATGAAGTTGATGATCACACAAGATCACAATTGAGAGAGAGACCTGTGGGAATTGGTAGTTTATAGCCCTTGCAAGATTAAGCCCGTCAGGCCACGAATCCTTAATCGGAGTACCTATTACACAGCAAATTTTGTAGATTTCATTTGCTTCAGTGCATGCTTAATAACAATGAAGAGTTAGCATGAATCCTGTGAATAACCAGGCAACTACCCATTATTGCCAAACATACTAATAAAGATAATGAAATATTACCTAATGCCTATCTAAAATGCAGAATCTTGAGGAAAAGTTCACAACACAATTTATAAAAGAAAATAACATACCTTGTGCCAGGAAAAATAGGACGTAAAGTGAACAACTCAGCCATGATTGCATCCATCGCCCACATATCTGTAATCAAGGAGAAAGAGCATAATTAAAAGGGCTATCACCAATTCTATCCTAAGTGAATTAAAATTGATTGAACTCAAAACTGACCAACTTTTGAAGTATATAGGTATGATTGAAGAAGAACTTCAGGGCCACGATACCTAAAATACAAGGAACTCAAAGCTCAGAAAAATTGTAATAAATATAAAAAAATAACAGAAAATGTGGAAAAGCTATTAAATTCTCAATGTATCAAACCTACCAGCGTGTTGAGACATACTCCATGTATGGGGGATGTGAATTTATTTCACGTGCAAGACCAAAATTAAGCAATTTTGATTATATCTTTAGTAACCAACAAATTCTCTGGAAGAAAAAGGCAGTTAGTTATGGACATTTTCTTTGAGTTGATGTAACAAAAATATACATAAAATTTATAGACAAATATTAAACACAATACCTAGCTTTAGGTCACGATGAAAATATCCACGCTGGTGCAAGTATGCAAGATCTTGTAATACTCGGAAACACCAATTTCTGATTTCAACTTCTGAAAAAAGCTTTTCCCTGTCTTTCATAAGTTGGTAAAGGTTGTATTCGCAGAACAGTTTCACGTTTTCAGCAAAATAATTAAACCCCAATGATTAAAGAGCAAGTTATAAGTCGAACACAACTACAAGCTGTTCACTTACCATGTATTTAAACATAAAGTATAGAATGTCATTTCCCCTAAAGACCTCCTTAAGCTTTGTAGAGACTATCAAACAAAACAGAGTATCATGAAAAGAAACAGACAACTATGAGACAAAACAGAATAAAGCAACTCATATTACCTTAACTTTTCTCAGATTCACACACTCTTCCCAAGTGTAATATTTCTTCTTCATTTTCTTAATTGCAACCTTCAAAACAAAAAATATTTTTTTGAAAATGATATATCAATATCAACATATTAAAAGAAACATGTTCTTACAATTTCAAATAGACAAAATCCCAGGTATACTCACAACTTCACCAGACAGGTTATTAATAGCTCGCCACACAACACCAAAAGTTCCATCACCAACTTCCCTAATTAACTTGTAACTAATATCATCCAAAACATTGATAAGCATAAATTGCCATGCACAAAATAAATAGTACAGTATATTCCAGTGTAAACAACTTACCTCTCCATTTTCTTGCAGAACAAAAGTAGCCCTTTCTTTATTCAAGATATGTATAAGAATCTAACTTGATGTTCCCTAGTTAACACCCAAAAACGTAAAAAAGGCTCAAACTTTAAATCCAAACAAATCTAAATTATCAACCAGATAAAGAAAAAAAAACGAAAGTTGGTGAATCATATTAAAATTTAAACAAAAAGGCACAAGAAACTCATCAAATTCAGGGTGTTTACCAATCCAACGCGATAATTAAGACCCCAGCTATGAAACTTAAAAAAAAACACCATGTACCAAATAAAAATCCAAACACAAAAACATCATGCATGCACAATTAATCGAACATCATGCATACACAGAGACAAAAACATCAAACACCAACAGAAAGCCTCCCTTAACATTTGCAGATCAATGAACTCTTCCTTCACTGATGTTAAGGGAGGCAGAAAGCCTCTGTGCAGATGTTAAGGGAGCCCGTGACAGCTAAAACGTCCCCATTTTGTTCAGAGGTCAAATTCGTTTCAATAACAGTTAGTGCAGCAGCCCTCCTACCTATCGAAGGGACCTAAATAAACAGAAAATATTATTACAGATATTAAGATTGTGGCACTCGACTCTTTGGCTTTACTTGGTAGTAAGAGGGATTTGAAGAAGTAAATAGAAAAGGGCATGGAAAGCAATGGAAGTGACAGGGATAAGCTTATAGAGCAGAAGAAAGACAAAAATTACCCTCCAATCTAATTGATTTACATTGCTGACCTGTGCCCATTGTAACCAATGGAAATGACACGGATAAGAAGCTTCTAGAAAAGTAGAAAGACAAAAGTTATCCTCCGATCTACTATTTAATTGATTTAGATTACTGAGCTGTCCCCGTTGTAACCAGTCCGGATATTATTATTATGGGAAAGTTCAAGTCATATTAAAAAAATTATATATTTTTTTATTTTTAATTTAATAAATTTAAAAGATCATATTATATCATTTACTTTATTTGTGTCTTTTGTATTTTTAAATTTATTAAAATTAATAATTTAAAAAATATAAAACTAAAAAATTTGATAATATCAGTTGATTTTGTCTCATTATTATAATTATATTATTATTATTAAACATGACATTGATACTATCTACGTTACGAGTGAAAATTTTTTTAAAAATTTATTTATTGAAAAATATTATTAAACTAAATAATATTATAAATAGTATCAATATTTACTAAAAATACTAAAAGTAAATAGTATTTTTTATACCTCAAAACAACCTTGTTTCATTTTCCTAAAAATTTCTAGAAATCTTATTTGGTTTTTATAAAAATTTCTAAAAATTTATAATTAATATTTAATTTTTAAAATTAAGTAAAGCAAATAAACCAAATACATTTGATATTAAATAATTAAAATCTAAAATAATTCAAACTCAAAATGTTTTTATCGAAATGTTTTGATAGAAATTATTAATTTTGGAAATATCAACTTATCTAAAAATTAAGAAATATATATTATTTATTTACAATTTTCTTGAAATTATATAATGTCATTACACATTGGTATATTTTTATTTACTTGTATAATTGAATGTATATGATGCAAATAGATATATAGTAATGCAATATCTAAATGATTCAAATTTCATTTTTTATTTTATTTTATTTTTCATATTTCACTTTATTTAATATTTTCATTTTTACTTTTTACATTCTTCTTTATTATTTTTTTTAAGTTAACCTACTATATTATGATTATTTGGAAATTGTTTAGAAACATGTCATTATAAATTGACTAAAATTTTTTATTGTTGAGAAACTTTTAATAATCATTATTATTATTTAAAATTTTAAATTTTTAACTTAACTTGAAAAGCACAATAAAACATAATAAATAATCATCAAATAAAAAAATTTAGAAATTATTTATTTCTAATGGCGTAACCCTTTTTCTTAATAATTTGAGGGAGAAGTCAATTAATTTAGACCACTTTTGTCAAGTCAAGACAACAAATATTGATGGGGCTTAGATTGAAGAAGCCCCCTTTTTTTTTTCTATTTTTATTTATTTTCCTTTTTCTCCAAAAATGCAAATAACAAAAATAAAACTCTAATCTTACCATTCCTTTTTTCTTTCATTAATTATTTGCTTTTCTTCTACTCTCTTTCTTATTTCGTTTGTCTCCCTTCTTATTTTTTGTCTTTTTATTCCCTATTCTAAAAATTTTTATTTTTCACTTCCACTCTTTCCTTTTTTTTTTGCTCTTTCTTTTCATTAGGGGTTCACTTCAATGGATTTAGGATTATGATAAATATGAGATTAATTATTATAATAATAAAATTAAAATTAATTGTGACGTGTTTATATGCAAATGTAATGGTAGTAATGAAATAAATTATAACAAAAAAAATTAAAGATATTATATTAAAATTAGTATATAATAAAATTTTAAATTATTTAATATTTATAAAATTAATAAATAATTAAAACTTTATTAAAATATTTTATGATAATAATAATTTTGTTAATAAATAATTAAAATTTAACTAAATATCATGTAATAATAAAATTTATTTATTAATTCATAATATAGTAATAAAATTTATTATTATATTTCATAAAATTTAAATTAAAAAAATCAAAATGAAAAAAAATGGTTAAATTATGAAGACATTTTTATCTTTCTAACATAAAATAAAGGACATGACGGTAACAAAACAAAAAAGGTAAGGTCCGTTTTCTCACTATACTAAAACCCTCCAATGGAGAAATGGAGATGCAAGCCTCCCACTATGCCGTACTGTGACATCTAAATGGATGTATAATGTCGTTTGGCACAAATTTCTCTAACAATCACACCTTTACCAAAGGTTCAGTGGAATCCAAAGTACCCTAAGTTTTTTTTTTTTTTTTTCAAGTTATATATTTTTTTTAAAATTAAAGAAATTTAAAAGCTTTTAGACCAAAGATTTTTTTCTTTCAAGTTATTTTTTTTTTTTTTAGTTGTATATTGTTTGATTGTGTTAATGGAGGCTTGTGCATATTTTTTTATTTTTTTTGAAATATAGAAAAATCTCAAAAATTTTCAATCTATGGGTGTTGGTTGATTTTGTTCTTCTTCCTTGTGATGATTAATTTTTTTTTTTGTTTTTCAAATATAAAATATCCAAAAATTTTTTGTATCTAGGGGCATTTTGTTTTGTATGATTGTTATTTGAATATTTGGTTAAGGTCGAGATTTGTGGTAATTAATTTTTTGTGTGTTTTGATAGATTTTTTATTTTTAATATTTATTGTGTAATTTAAAATTAATTAAAATAAAATTTGAAAAAAACTTTTCTTAATTTTTTAAATTTCTAATGCTGGAATGTGGGGACAGCCGTGAAGCGCAAGCAATCACATGCTGATTTTCAAAAATAAAATAAATTATAATAAATTACTATTAAAATTAAAAGTGAAACAAATTTTATATTTTTTAAAAAAATTTAAAAAACTTCAAGAACTAAATTTAATAAATCAAATTAAAAAATTAAAATTTAAAAAATACAATTTCGATCAATAATTTAACTTTTTTCTCGATCAAACATCTCTTAATTTTTTTTTTCACGTTAAATGCAGCTTCACCTTTTTTCACTACATTATTTTTAGAAATATACAAATATAATTCTATAACATGACAAGGTCATTCATTTGTCCTACCAATTAAGCTGAATAGATGACGTGGCAAATAGTATCCGTTAAGGGACTAAAAATGTGCTGACAAACTCAATTTTAATCTTAGGAATATTGATTAGGTAGAGGCCCGCGCGTCACAAAGAGGGTGCAATAAAAATATATTGGGCATGTATAAATGTTTAAGAATTGATCGATGAAGAAGAGAAAAGCTTTCTTTGTTAAATTTCCATGCTACTTTCGAATAGTATTTCACACATTTTGACAAAAATGTTAAAATTAAAATATATAGTATTTTGTATATTGCAATTACATTTTTTTTATTTTTTACATTATATTATTAGTGTTGTATTTTTATTAATAATTTAATCAAATGTATGATTTTTCATTTAATATAGAATATAAGTTTTTTTGTAAAAATATTTAAAATAAAAAAAAGTAACTTAATTTTTATTTTTTGTTTTTTATATTTATTATATTTTAAAAAAATTTTATTTTAGTTTATTATAAATAATAAATGATAAAAACTTAAACTCATAAAAAAAAAAAAAAAAAAAGAGGGATCGGTCCAAGAAATGAGGGGATCAGTTGCTCACATCAATATAATATTAAATATAAATAATTCATAGTTCAATTATATAACTAAGATATTATAGTTAATGTTAAAGACTTGCACTCTTTTGATATAACGTCGAACTGGTAACATGACTTTTATAGAAACATGCCTTTCACTATGGTAGCCTATTTCAGTAAGATCTTGGTACAATAACTTTTTTTTGTTTAAGTGGATCAATGGTCCGTTTAACAATTTTATAAGGTAACTATGGTAACTACTAAGCATACTTAACTTGTATCACTACAAACCTTGATATAGAAAATTCTTTCTGATTTTAAACCTAATAGCTAAAAAAGGAAAAAGAAATTACCAAAAGAGATGAAAGGTTTTAGAAGAACATTTTTATATATAAGAAGGAACTTCTAGATGAAAAATGATCTGCCTTCTTCTAGGAGGAGTTACAAATTTATACAAAAAATAAAAATGAGCAAATAGGACCTATAATAATTACATTGGGTCTATGACTTACCATAAAGTAATGACTAGACTAAAAATGAGTTTAATAAAGTAGTTTTAATAAAGTAAAAGTAAATTTTCTTATCCTTTATTAAAGTAATTTTAATAAAGTAGACTTGGCTCGACAACATGACCTAACAAATTATAAAGTAGACATAAAGTTGATACCAAACTTAATGTAGACTAAAGAAAAGCTTTAGTTGATGTGGACACATCATTATCACACTTGTCTTGGAGTCTTTTTGAGTAATCTGGGAAGCATCACACATAATTATACATAATTGATTAGAACATGAAGTTTCTTATGGCTTTAACACTATGACTGAATTTTTTACTGGTACATCATCTTACTTAGAGGAACGATAGGTATGGTCTGGAGAGAGGTTCAAATGTGAATTATTTGCACTTGGAGTGAAATTATAACCCATTTTTTTTAACTATTGGTTTAGGTCAAAATCTTCATACGAGTCTTGTGAATTTTACCATTCCATCTCTTTGATGACATCAGGGGGAGTCCAATATAGATTTCATTCTATTGGTCAAACATGATCAAGTTCATATTTTGCTGTGTTAAAAAGGGTTTTTTTCATATACCATCAAATCTTGTTTCATAAATTTTTTTATCAATTGTGAGCTGATAAATGTAATCTAAAGGGTAATTTTGTCATAAAATATTATCTTGGAGTTTTGGCCAATTTTGAATAAAAATTTTATGATTTATCTCACATATCTGTCTTTGAAACTCTATTTATTCAGTAAGGTGATCAAACAGGAAGTCTAGTAGTGAATAATCTTACAAGCTATAAATTATTATGTAAGAAAAATACTATAGTTTATCTACCAAATAACTGTAAGATTTATGAAAAATTAGAATGATATGAGGATCAGAGAAAACTTTATAATATCTTTCATAGGTTTCTATCCATTGGATCCATATAGGAATAG